AGGTAAGAACTTTTCAGGGTCGGCGCACTCCCACTTTTGACTGCAGGGGATCAAAATCCTTAATTCCAATAAATTGAAGAGAAAATGATCCAGGGTATGTTCTCCAATATACTTTTACTGCTTTATTGTAGATATACGTATAATTCGACTAAAGCCTAGCCGAAAATGGAACTTTTGTACATTATACAAAGTGTACGGTTCCATCATCTAGGGTCCTGACAAATGGTGCCACCTGTTGAGAACACATAGTTCTAACCTTTGAAGATGAGCAAATTCGGCAAGACGAGAAAGAGACCAGAGGCGCTGTACGGCACGTAAGTGCGAAAGACAACGTTTGTCGCTAAGAACTATCTCACTTTCGTCACAGATATCGTAAAGCCGATTTGTCGCTGAATTTGGTTATATCTGAAGGTTAGAACTATTGGTTCTCATTAGGCAGCATCCCTTGTCGCGGCCCTTGGCTATTGCTGTAGTGGGTATCAAAAAGTTAGCATAATGCAGCGTACAACACGGTGTATGCGGCGAGTTGAGTACAGTGAGGTCCACATGCAGGTATACAGAGACATAACGCAGTAGCGATGGCACGCGATGCGTTATCCTGCTCGGTTACATTTTTGTACCCAACTATGCCATATAAATAAATTTTTTGCGGAAGATTCTTTTGGATAAAACTTATTGACCAGAAAATAATCATAGAAATCACAAAAATTGAGAAATTATGAAGAAAGATACCTCCAAAATGTGTTTTGAAGAATATAAAATTAACCCATTAATCTCGCTTTACTTTGTATGCCAATTGACGGAAAATTACATAGTATTTCCGGAGATACACGGAATAAATGATAGTTTAGCTTTTTGCTCTGAATTGAATTATTCTGTTAGTAACTTAAGTTGTACTATAATTTTATTTCGATGTCATTAATTATGATTGATTGTTCGACCATCTACTACTGTAATATAAACTCTTTATAATTAAGAATTATTTTCTACTTTTTAGTTCGGTTACCTAAAAAAACGTGTTTTTTAAACTATTATTTATTTTTCATTTTTTAGCTCGATTTATCAATTAGTTTTTTATGGACATGTGGTATTGGAATATCTTACTTATCGTTTTGTAATCTAATCGTTTCATTTAAATCTTTTAACTTAGAGCAATCAAGTTCTTCAATCCGAATACCGCTAAAGATCTTTCACGACTAAGTTCCAGATAAGCTTGTTCAGCAGCAAACAATCGCGAGCCTAGATAAATGACTGCATGATCTACTGCACAACCTTGCATCTTGTGGACGGTCGAAGCCCAACTCAGAATTAATGGCAACATTCGTCTCTCAACAGTTCCATAGCTGTATTTCGCTGGGAACTATATCGATATCGGTTTAATCACGTGCTCACCATATGAACGCGTAATTTGCGTGTATTAGACTCATTAGTACCTACGCATGTATAAGGAATGAACAAGGCGAGAACGCACTACCTTGAAAAAGTATCTGCCTCCGGTGTGCTGAGCCGAGTGCCCGAACAAACAAAGACTGAGTGCGCTAGCTCTATCTGTCTTACTCCCCTACAGAGGATCTATAAAGGAATTTATCAAACCTGGCGGTCCTAATAAGGATAATGGAAAACTGTTAGCAAATTATTGCATTGTCATCCGTCCTTGATACGTTTGCGAAGTTTTAAACTTATCAAACTTCTGGAAATTGGTGAAAATTATGCTCAAAGATTCCGTTATATAAATACCTGCATACATACATACAGGCCAAGCTGATAAAAGCGTGTTAAAAAGCAGGGTTTTCCAAAAGTCGTTTTTACTTTTCCTGACTCTATAAAGTTAATATTAACACTGCGCTGGATAATCTGGCATTTGTCTCATAATATCAATCGAACATCCCTTTTTATGGCTAACAGTACTCTCAACTTTGACGATGTTCAAAACATGTCATATTATTTGTGGGTAATAACAAAAACATTGAAAATGATAGTTTCTAAAAAAACTGTTAGAAACATTTTACAGAAAGTAGCTTCGACGATGTTGCAGGCTGCAAAACACATTTCATTCCATTATATCTAAGCCGATGCACCCATCTTTTCCTCAAGTAATATTATTCTACGACCAAGGCGTTATTTGGAAAGTCTCAGTCGTGCTAAAAATAACATTCTTGATTTGTCTATGAAATCAAGATAACGGATTTATTACAAAAACTTTAAATTTGAAATATTTACTTCACGGGCTACATCTCAAACGGATTTTAGGATTTTTGGCGTCCGGCGCGGAATGTTCAGTGTCCCATCCGACCGAGATGGAGCTAAAAGCTTCATCCTTTTCAGTTACTACAATCGGGGTTTTTATATTCTTTAAAAATGTTCTTATTCAGTAACGACCTAGAGAAGTTAAAGAAACGTTAATGATATAAACTACCGAACACGGCTGGAAAAAAGCTCTTTATATACATTTTTTCTTCAAAATCGCGCGAATAGTACATTTTGTGTTCAAAATCTTATTCCTTTAAACCAAAAGCACTAATATGAACTTTTAGTGCGATATTCAACACTGTATAGCAAGACCAATTTAATGATAATTAAATGCTATTTTCAATAAAAAATGAACGATTCTAAATTTAAGTCGTATTATATTGATAAATTTCTATAAATTGGTTTCAAAACAAATTTTACCAAAATACGCTGAAAAAACCTTTAGAGTACATTTTCCAAGTTACCTTGCATCTAAAAAATCTTTGACAATTTGAATTAACTCCGCTCATTTCCCTCTGTACGTGGTAGAGTGGTAGAGGCCGCCACTGATGTCTTAGTCTCCCAGCAACAACAGCAGCTGTTACCAGCCAAGGACCTACAAACCAGAATCTGACGAAAACACGAGACAGACGGGATATTTTCATAGGTATGCTGATGCTGAAAGTCTGTATAAAATTGTCGTAAATTTTTCATATAGAAGACTCCGAAAGGGATAAATAACAGGATGACATTTGGACGAAAGATTAATCTTTGGATCGTTGTATAATTTTTTTGGCCTAGTCTGGTATAGTAGTAGAGAATAAAGGTGGAATCTTAAATTTTTTATAGATATGATTATTGGCTACCGTTCGAATCGGACTGCTATTCTTGGTCCTCTGAGCTTTTTTGGATTTAGATTAATTTAAGTTACTCAGCTCAAGAGGGATTCTAAAAGAACATTAAGCAGCTTTGTGTCTTAAGGACAAAAGCGATGCAGAAAGCGCATATATGTTGTTTTTCTTATTCTACATATTATTAAGAGTCATGGTTTTTTAACGTTTTTAAAATGTTTTTCCAAAGGCTTTTCATTAACCATTATCTTTATGTTCGCTGAATTTCTTAAACGACGCTTCTAGTTTCATTCCAAATGCACGAGTGTTTATCTCAGAGTACGCGGAATCGGCTAAATATTGCAGTTGCTTCTTTATCTGTTAGCTTTTTACAAAAGTGTGGAACTGATAAATACGGTATGCATTACTTGGTCACTTCTAGGTTCCTACCAAATCAAATTGGTGTTGATACTGCTCGTGAATTTATTATATCATTTACTTTATTAAAATTGGTTGATCTATTTATTTTTGTCAATGCAAAGGCGAAGCAATTAGGTGATCATTGTTTATATTGTTCCAGGTGAGTCCAGATTTTCATTGCGAATGTCTCGTACATATGCACAAGCTCGGTAAGTCGATTTTGCCATACTATTCAAACGATTTGTATTTTGTTGTGTTTCGATTCAACAAAAACAGGAAATAAGATGGAGAGTGGACCTTCAAATAATTTTTTCCATTAAATTATTTCGTTCTTCAACACAGACTCAAAGACTATGATTCAAATGAACGAACAAAAATATATTAAAAACTAGGAAGTGTTTTTATAATTCAAATTTTAAATTCAAAAACCAGAGCCTCAGAAATGGATTTTATCATTCGATTTCCATATTTTCTTCTTAACAGGTGCAATAATAGGAAACAAGTTTTGCCAGTATTACCAAACTGCATTCTATCTAAACTTAAAATTTGTATATTTAGTATGTTTTGTGTACAATTTGGGACTCTCTAAGAAAATACGCTCCTCCCGCTCTTCAGAAAGTTTTGTTGGTAGGTACTCATTGACACAAAGTTATCTCTTGCAGATGAATGGCCTTCCCCCTTCCCTTTTTGTATATCTCATGAGTTGTGAAAGAACTGCGGGTTAGGGAGATAGGTACACCCGTGGTAACGTAGAACATAATAGATAATATCTCGTCTTCATTACGCATTAATTCTGGTACAGGTAACATTTTTGAGCTTCTCGTTTCAAAAAAAGATATACAATAAAATGCAACTGCTACCTTCATCAGAATTAAGCGTCCCCTGTCGACAGAAATCAATAGACTCGAATAGATTGGAAGGAGCCAAGCCTATAGGGGAAAGGGGGGTAATATGACGATAGTAAGCTTATTATACATTTTCTCAATGCAATTTCAATTTGGTATCTTGTGTTCAATCTCAACATTAACTTGAAACATTAAGAAATAAAGAGAATTATCAAATACTTAAATATTTAAGATTTCCTATTTAATTTTTTACCTTAAAAATTTGATGCCAAGTTCATCTTGCCCTCGTAGGTGGGTAAGATGACAATATTGGGTGTTAAGATGACGAAAAAAAAAAAACTATATTTAAAAATTAATTATATTTTTATTGAACTTGACAAAAGTCACAAACATATGCCTTACGCTACAGGCGGCATGCACCCATTTACTACAAGAGGAGCAGTCATACCAAAGTTCATCTTTGCCTGATTCACTGCAAATTAAACAAACTTCTTCTGTATCTCCGACGTAATCGATCTCATCATTACTTTCCATGTAATCTACTGATATGGAGGAATCTGAAGGCACAGTCATTATCAAACTTTATTTGTCTAACATGTTTCTGCTGTTTTTTCTTTTGTGTGGCCACCTTTTTCGGTTTATTAGCATTTTTTCTAGCATTTTCAGCTTTTCTTTTCTAACTTTCTTTTTTCTTCTCCTCTTTAATTTTTTTCTCAGCTTCTTTACCTTCCAAGGCATCCTTAACAGGAGTACTAGTTATATACAATGACGGCAATTTCTTTCTTGTTTTTTTTTGTCGTGGGAATAGCAACAGGGAGTTGAGGCAAGCCAAATAATGTTTTAGAAGGTCCAGCTGTAGGTTCGAGGGTAGCAAGTGAACTGTTTTTAGATGGTCCTGCTATAACTTCAGAGTTGACAAGTACTAAAGAAGCATCAGTATCACTTGAGTTTAATTCAGTAGTAGCTGTAGCTTGTATTGACATATCATTGTCAGAAAAGGGGTTTTCTCTATTAAGATCCTTTGACACTTTGACACGAATGGTTTATCTGTTGTCATTGAAGCCTCATAGTCAAAATCATCAAACATTTGAGAATTTAGTGGAACTAAACCAGTTGCTTTAAAACCTTGAACAGCATTCTTTATTGTGGCATCCTTATTGTAAGCCACACTAAAAATCCCTGCCACATCTATAATTGTAATGATTTGACCTGGATGTTGCATTAAATAATCATTGCATGCCCGGCTATAAGCGGTTTTAAAGGGTCCGTAAAAAGACACATCCAACGGTTGCATACGACGATTTGTATGAGGAGGAAAACCCAAAACATCAATAAAGTTTTTTCGACATAAAGTTACTGCCGGTAAAGTTACGTGCGACGAATGGTTGTCCATTAAAAGTAAAATAGAATTGTCCTTGGAAAGCCTTACATTTTTTATAAAATGTTGTAACCACAAAAGAAAGGTGTCCGCGTTCATCCACCCTGATTCGTTACATACGCCTGAAGATCCCGTAGGTGCACCATTTAAGAAATTCTGTTGCATTCTTACTCTCGGGAAAATAAAGAATGGAGGCATATATTGGCACACAGCACTAAAACAACATGCCACACTGACATTTGTGCCCTTTTCGGCAGAAGACACTTTTATGACTCTACGGGTTCCAATTGGACTTAGCACGCTTGGTGTTTTAGTAGGCACAGTAGAACAACCGGTCTCATCTATATTAAAGATTTGATGAAGATCGTAATTTGTTTTGGCCAACACATCTTGATATAAAGTAAAAAATGTTTCGACACTTGTTCTATTAAAAGCTTGCAATCTCGCTGCGGAAGTAGCTTCGGGTTTTCATAATGAAAACCTAAATTTGTGCATAAAGTCTTGAATAAAGTCTTTCCTGGCTTCTTAGTAATATTGTTAAAGCCGTGAGAAATCCTAAGCGTTTCGGCATAATGATAGACAATTCTTGCAAACTGTTCTCGAGTTATGCCAAATGCTCTTTTATTTACATCTTATACATATTGCCTTAGATTTTCCATTTGCTCATTTGTAAAATGTGCATCTAAATCTTCCGGCACTAACTAGCATATTCTAAAAATAATTTTTAACTTTTAACTAAGCATACAAAAAAGTTATCTAATATTGCCTAAAAACAATAACAATAATCATATAAACAATAACGTTATTAAATATTTAGTTACCTCCTCAGAATATTTTTCAGCATAGCGTCGCAATGTAGCTTCTGGAAGTTTATATTTTTTTGCTGTGCCATTTACAGACGATCCACCCTTTACTTCCTCTATAGCAGCGATCATCGCTTCCTTAGACCAACTTTACCCATTCGTCTTTCGTTGATATATTTTTACCTTGTTGTTCACTGCAAATAAATCGTAAACCCTATTTTCAAATACTGATTTACAGAGATCGGGTGAGATGACGGACTCGTCATCTTATCCGCTTGGAAGATTCGTCAACATCTCCGACACCAACATTTTATATAAGTTTACAATAAACAGAAACCCACATGTATTTTACGAAAATTTAATAGACATTGCACATACAACAATTAAGCCTTTATGAAAATACTTACTGCGAAGGAAAAATCCCCAATTTACAACCACAAAATCTTATTTAGTCGACCACGATTTTTACAACGACATATACACAATACATAAATGTCATTAGCGTACCGCACACATAAGACTGAATGCAGGTTTCATAGATTAGAGAGTAAAAAGATGCTAACGCGTCATATATTTCACGTACGTGGCGCTTTCTTTGTAGTAAGAGTTTCCGAAAATAAACAATTCGTCATCTTAGCCGATACGTCATCTTACCCTCCTCTCCCCTACGTTTACATTGCATTGTTTGTCGCCAAAATTGCGTAGTCTTAGTGGATAGTTTTCACTCATTTGACTACCAATACGTACGAAAATGACAGCGTTGTATCAAAACAATAATAATACTTGCCGGTGGAAACATCTTTCATTTTCCCTGTGCCGCTTTTGCAAAATGTAAGAAGCACCATATCCTGAAAACGTCTACCACCACAGTTATTTGCAAGCACTTGAACTTAAACTCTAAAAATACGTATACTATGACAGAACTGTCAAAAAACTGATTTATGTCATGTGCACTTGTAGTGTGCACTTCGATCCTTACTAATGACTAAGAATTAGGGGACAAACAAGTCCTTGACTGTCTCCGACTACCTAGTCTAAATTTGTTAATATAGTTGTGGTCACCGTTCTTGGCGGATCAGAGTAGGACTACCAGTATACCTTGATATATCTCCAACCCCCTCATACATACAGATGCAACCTACCCGTGTGTGTGAACGTTTGTTCGGTAAGCTCAGAGACATACGTTTTTAGTTGTGTGCCTCCGTCTTGAAAACTTTGTCATTACGTATGACTGCCCTTCTATCATATTTGTCAGAGTGACAACTTACTTGACATCGGCGTGCAATTCGAGTTAGCAATCTTCAATATAAAATTGTACATTGCCCTGCAATACGATCAATGGAGAAGGCGGACAGCTCGAGCTAAGTTTATTAGAGTATTTCCAGGAAGAGAATGAAAACAGCGGTCCTCTGTTACCCACTTCATGCGTACTGGAGCGAGTAGCAGTTGCGCTGCAGATTAGTCTGCGCAGTATTCCGCCCATGGTACGGAGATTCAATCTGTTTACTTATTTCATATGGCGTTGATGACGTAACCGCCAAGAACGGTGACTACAATTATAGTAATAAACTCATACTGAATGAGTTAAGGAGTCCTTATGAGTAATTCAATTTTTGTTATTCAATTAAAACACAGAAGTGCGATAGACAACTCTGACTAAGATGAGGAAATGAATATTACCGAGAATGAATGTTTAGTTTGATGTTTAGAAAGAATCTCCTTTGTTTATATTTTGTCAAATGAGAGAAGGGTCAAAAGTGCCAGGGCTGGAAGGGCGTGAGAGACATTTTGTACGATGTCATACTGTATAATTATATAATGTATATTTACTGTTTGTCATGTCTGGAAGTTGTCGGTGTACCGAGTTCATAAAAAGCATGTAGAATGTGTTCTAGCCGATATTCCATTCAGTTCAAAAAATAAATAATCTTTCTCTTGCACTCGTTGTTTCAATAGGTTACAGTTTACATACCCGCTAAATTGAATTATACGTATATTTTTCGGTTTGTAACAGAAGGATCCACGATTTCGTAACATTAGGAAATATTTCTTCTTCTTTGATATATGGATATTTTAACTATCAGTGTAGGACTGAAACATTTATTACCTGTTTTTTTAATCTGCATGTATGCGATTACTTTTTTCGTTCAGATTGCAATTAAGCACATTGGAGCAGCTGTTCTTTATTATTCCGATGATAAAGCAAATCTGTTGAAGAACATATAATGAGCTGTGCATTCTTGCTATTATGAATATTCCTCATTGTTGTTATTCGTTTCGGTTCAGATAATTACTCTCGTATGGTTAAGAGGTTTTCATGGGAAAATAAAATGCTATTATTCAGCATAATGTACACTCTTCTTCTTGGAAGTTTCAGAGAAGCCACAAACCTTTATTGTTTATATGAATTGTTTTCTTTAAGCTAATTGTTATAAAGTTGCGAAATTGTTTTGTGCTTGTTGTATCTTTTATTAACCCAAGCGATGAGATTAGATTTAAAAGTTTTTATGGCTCGTGTTATTGCTTTTCACTACAATTGACAGTATCTAGATATTTGATAACTGCTGCTATTGCTGCTCTTCCGCATAGAAGCTCTATGCTGCTGGGCCGCTTTTAGTTGACTGAACAGAGTCATTGCACATGGACGGGCACGAGTCGTCAGCAGGTGTAAGAGTAAGACAAAATGTACAGTTTTCGTTTCAACATCACGTGCAGCATACTGTAGCAGTTATGGTTTGGGGCGCCATGAAATATGGTACTAAGTCACTTCTAGTTTCCATATCCAAGTAAAAGATCGTTTCTACTATTCCCCCAAAAGCTTTAAAACCCTATTCTTCAATAAAATAATGTCCCTCCCCCTTGTCAGCAAAAGTAAGCAATTCTCTTACCACCTCCTTCCATGTTTACTTAAACATTTTGGTACATTTTACATTTTGAAGCAAGTATTGGCTTTCACGGATATGTAATGAATGCTATTTATTGTCTGGAAAGTCAGGAAGATCTAGCTCGCCCAGCCCAAAATATTTTGCAGTAACATGATAACCATCAATTTCATAGACGAAATTGGATCTTTCTACATTCACTGAAATGCCACGTTCAACCAAATGAGACCCAAAAAGGTTATGAGGTACTGTTGAACCAGCCAGTTTCAAACTAAGAGGAGAAATTCTGCACTCTACTCGGTTATACGCATTTCTACCATGAGCATTTATATTCTAAGCGAGCAAGCATATCCATATTTGGGAAATCCCTGAAGATGCGTTTCGCTTTGGGGGTAAGACAAGCAAGGTTGCCATTGTTGAATTGAAAATAGACCTAATTTCGTAGAAAATCCGGAAACGTAAAAAAAATTAAAATTGCTAAGGTAATCACTACCTAAAGCCACTATCTCCCAAAAATAAGCAAAGTGACGACTACCCGGGGGGGGGCTTCAGTGCTTACGTAATCCTTGGATGGTCCCTAACAGCCTACTTCCTTTGCCATTGAACATCTGTGGGATATCCTCCACCAACGTTAGTAGCTTTTCGGAATCGAGTACAGCTATCTCGGGAACAGATACGTCAATTTCAAAAATTCATAGACCATTATTTTGCCAGAATTCATAATCAACATTCTCATTAAATAGCCTTGTCGTATTCACCGCTCAATTACTGAACTTTTTTTCATATTTTGGTTGATTTAGGGTGGGGGAAGGGTTGAAGTCATTTCAGGAAAAGCTATATAACTTCTGTTTGTCTACACAGATTCACCTGCGCTACCAAAGAATGCTCAATTTTGTCAAAATAATTCAGTTTGTGGCCGCTAGATGGCGCTACGTCGATGTTCCAACACTTTATTTATATTTTTCCGAAAATTTCAAATACAACGATATGATTGCTTATGTTGATCGGTAAGTGCATATCAAATCCTGTGAAATGGTTAAAACCGCAGATCAATATCTTTATTCATTATGGAGATAGAATCGTATTATGTTAGTACATTTTACACAAGTATCCATATCCAACCCTACCTACTTGAAAATTGTAATTTAAGCTTATTTCTTAATATAACTCCATAACGAATAAAGATCTTGATCTGTAGTTTCCACCATGTTATGGGACATTTTATGCACTCTTCTATCAATATAAAAATATTATATCGTTGTATTTGAAATTTTCAATAAATAAAAAAGAACGCTGACACATCCACAAAGCGTCATCTAGCGGAAACAAACTGAACTAAATTGACAAAATTGATCATCTATTATGTGCTCAGGTGATTATTCTTTCAAACGAAACCAAGATAATCAAAATCAGTGGCGTTTGAATTTGGAATGACGCCACCTCGCGGTCATTTAAGGCAGCTGAAAATAATTTCCAGCAATTTTTCTTTACAACTTTGAGTATAATTTTTGCAACAAATAGGTTGAAGACGTGTAAATAAACCACATGCACCTTGGCTATCATCCCAGCTTAAACGTATGATGAAAGACAAAGACAGAGTTTTGAGTCAGTTTAAAATTAATAAGACAGAAGATTCCTGGAATCGCTACAAAGAGCTCAGAAATTCAACTTTAAGTCAAATTAGATATGAAATAGCATCATATTAATTATCCCTCCGTCAACAAAATGATTCAAAAATGTTTTATAGAGCCTTAAAATCAATGCGTATCCAACAGTCACAAAATACCGATATTACTCTACATTTAAAGAACCCTACTGATATTAATAATTATTTCTGTTCCATTTTTAATAACGCCATTTGTTCATGCACGTAGAAGATTGAGCATTATGAAAAGAATCACTATTCTAGTGATCGATTCAATTTTAAACGAATCGATATGACTGATTTAAAACCGATGTTCCAGTCTCTGAACTCGAATGCCTTAGGAAGCGATGGCGTGTCACTCAAAATGCTAAAACTATGCTTCTTTGCGATTTCAGGTCACATTTTACGCATCATAAATACCTGTTTAGAAAGGGGATTCTTTCCAGAATCATGGAAAGAAGCATTAGTGTTACCTCTAGCTAAAATAAGTAATCCAAAATTATATTCTGATTTAAGACCAATTAGTATTTTACCTGTTTTGTCCAGATTATTAGAAAAAGCAGTGTACGCCCAAATTTACGATTATCTCTCTAAACATAAATTTTGCCTCCCAAACAATGCGGTTATCGAAAAGGATATAACACTGCAGGTGCCCTATTAGACTTAACCGATGACATTGTTAGAGCCTGGGATCAACATATGATCACAACTTCTCTAAGGCATTCGATACCATAAATCATCGTCTTCTAGTAGCCAAGTGCAAATATTTTGGTTTTTCTGACTCTGCCTCAAAAATGATTCAGAGCTTCTTAGGAAATCGATATCAAAGGGTACACATTGAAATGGTTCTATCTTCAAAGTGCCTCATTTCCTCCGGAGTGCCTCAAGGGTCTGTACTTGGGCCACTCCTATTCATTTTGTATATTTCTGATCTCCGTTCATATAACATCTATTAGTATGTATGCAAAAAATCATAACCTTCAGTTGAACCCTTTAAAATCGAAAGTCATCATTTTTTCACCAAAACTATTTAGATGATGCCAAAAGAAATTTTAAAGTAAAATTAAATGGTGAGACTATAGAAGTAAGTGAGTCAGTGAAAAACTTGGGCGTAACTTTATAGGAATGTCTAAATTTTATACCACATGTAAATAATATCAGT